TCTCCTGGTGATTGGCCCAAAGTCACCCAGTTGGCTTTCATGCCTAAGGTGGAACTAAAACTCACTGTCTCCTGGTTTCTAGTCCAGCACCTTCCACAACACCAAATTACGCTCTCATTCTGGCACTGATTTTAAACCCTTTGTACAGCTGCCCCTCTCACCTAGGTGACTCAAGGCAGGATACAGAGGCTTAAAACGGCACGATCAGAAAACAAACGAATCGGCCATCTTTGCTTTAAATCGCTGCACCCCTGTTTGGCCTCCAGCTCACTTGCTTCCAACTCCTGATGCCCCTTTGCAGTGGAAGCACCTTGCAAATAAGGAAATCAGGCAGGAGAGCTCATCCGTTGCAGAACTCTAAATCAGGGGTCTCCAAACTCGACATGGTCACGTGATCAAAAATTCAGCCGCTCGGCGACTGACTCAGAGTTATAACGGTTGCAGCGCCCCGGGGAGGGGGGGAGCATGATTTTCCCTCCTTTGCCGACTTTCTGACAAGCCAAGTCAATGGGGAAGCCGGATTCGCTTAACAAAGGGGCTACTAATTGAACAACCGCAGGGATTCCCTTAACCAAGGGGGCAAGGAAAGTCGTCAAAGGGGCCCCTGAACTTGCTGCGCAAATTTCTCACTTCGCAAAACATTGATCGCGGTTGTAAAGTGTATTTGATTCCCAGCTGTCTTGACGATGAGAAGTCTCTGCAGAGCCTCCATCTTAACTTTCCCTTCTTCTTTTCTCCGCAGCGATTCCGAAGCCTGGTGCCTGAAGCAGCAACTCTCCGCTGAAGGATCCCAAGGCCCATACGCTCTTGAAAGCAGCACCACTTTTCTGGAAAGCCTTCTGTCTCCCGGACAACTGTCCAGCCCTGATCAAGTCTTCACACCGGGTGCCGGCACTCCCACCGCCACGCTCGCGGCCCCGACCTTCGATTTCAGCACCGCCGGGGTCCCTGAAGGCCCGTCGGCGTTCGGCGAGCCTCCGGAAGGCCTGCCTGAAGAGATGATGGAACCTGGGAATATCTCCTCCATAGAGGATGCCCCGCCAGGTTCTTCTCTCAGCCTGCTCGTCAAAGAACCGGGCTTTGGGTATGTCGTCCTTCCGCAAGGAGGTTACGGACAGGCGTTTTCGAGCGAGAATCCCCCCGGCGGCAAACCTGCGTCGAAAGATTTGATCTGCACCCCTCCTTATACCCCACACCAGAGTTCAGCTTTCCTCTTCGGAACTCCGGAGGTTTACGGAGGTGGCCCCGTGGCCTTGCCTCCGGGCACGGCGTCCAGCGCCAACTCTCCCGCCGGCCTGGCTGCCGTGACCGAGCTGTTCTACGCCCAAGAACCCTGCAATGTTCTCTATGAGAAACTCCCCCCGACTCCAGACAGCCCCGGTAACAGGGGCTGTGCCGTCATGAGCTTGCCAGAGATCCGAGGTCCCCTCTATGTGGATGTGCCTATGGTACCCGAGGGGATCTTGACGCCGGAGGCCTCGCCCATCAAGCAAACCTTCTTCCACTACTCTGAGAAGGAGAAGAACGAGATCGAACGGCTGGCGCAGCAGATCTGTAGCCTGGCAGAGACTTTCGGCTCCACCGCTTCCCGAGGACGTGCCGAGGACGTCCGTGGGGCTCTCCGAGAGGAGGACCCACCGGTGCCCGGCCCCGGACTGTTTCCTGTGCCGGAACCTCGCCCGGATTTCCAACGGCCCAAAACCTGGAGGAGTGTTGACTTCTCTCTCTTGACCTGCCTGGAGGAGGACCTCCTGGTGGACGAGAACGCTCTCGAGACCCTCCTGCAAGACCTGTCGTCCTTTCTGTTCGAGAAAGGTGGGGCAGGGATGAGGTGCCCTCACCACCAGTTCTGCGGTGGCGACGTCAGTAGTCCAATCGGCTTGGACACCGAAGATAGTAGCCCCGGAGCTTTTGCTCTCTCGCCAAGGATGGAATTGGCTCCAGAAGAGCCATGTTTTTTGGAGGACCTGACCTCCTTCGAAACAGCCTTTGAGACACGTGCCTCAAACTCACCCTGTGAGGGGTTAGATGAGTTGTATCAACTCCAGAGCCAAAGGCCGGACGGCTTCCAGGAAGGTAAGCGGGGTGCTGGAGGGTGGCAGGCAACAAATTTGGGGAGCCAGGGCAGGGCAGGCGGCAGGGGAGCAAGAGTAAGGGGTGTCCTAAAGGTTTTTTTTTTCAAAAGGCAATTGGAGTTTCTTGACTCTTTCTTTCTTTCTTTCCTTTCTTTTTCTTTCTATTTTCCTTTTTTCCTTCCCTTCTTTTTCTTGCTTTTCTCTTCCTTCCTTCCCTTTTCCTTCCCTTCTTTTTCTTGCTTTTCTCTTCCTTCCTTCCCTTTTCCTTCCTTCTTTCTTTTCTTTATCTTCTTTTCCTTCCTTCCTCATTTCCTTCCTTTCCTTTTTTCTTCCTTCTTTTTGTTTTCTTTCTTTTTTCTTCCCTCCTTTTCTTCTTTTTCTTCTCTATCTTCCTTCCCTTCTTTTTCTTCCTTCCTTTTCTTTTCCTTTCTTCCCTTTCTTTCTTTCTTTTCTCCCTTTCCTTCCTTTCGTTTCTTCACTTCTTTCTTTCCTCCCTTTCCCTTTCTTTCTTTCTTTCTCTTTCTTTCTCTTTCTTTCTTTCTTTCTTTCTCTTTCTCCCTTTCTTTCTCCCTTTCTTTCTTTTCTTTCTCCCTTTCCTTCCTTTCGTTTCTTCATTTCTTTCTTTCCTCCCTTTCCCTTTCTTTCTTTCTTTCTTTCTTTCTTTCTTTCTTTCTTTCTTTCTTTCTTTTTCTTTCTCCCTTTCCTCTTTCTTTCTTTCTTTCTTTCTTTCTTTCTTTCTTTCTTTCTTTTTCTTTTCTTTCTCCCTTTCCTTCCTTTCTTTCCTTCCCTTTTCTTCCTTTCTTTTTCTTTTTTTCTTTCTTTTTTTTCTTTTTCTTTCTTTTTCTTTCCTTCCTTCCTTCCTTCCTTCCTTCCTTCCTTCCTTCCTTCCTTCCTTTCCTTCCTTTTCTTTCTTTCTTTTCTTCCCTTCTTTCCTTTCCTTCTTTCCTTCCTTCCTTCTTTCCTTTCCTTATTTTCATATTTTTTCTTTCCTGTTCTTTGAAAATGCTTTGCTTCTCATTCAAGGAAACTGAAGAAACTTCTTAGATGAGAAGCAAAATGTTTTCTAAGAAAAAAGAAACCCAGGAAGTCCATTTGCCTTTTGGAAAAAGCCCCTTAAGGGCAACCCTGACCTAGATGAGGGAGAGTCTTGACAGACAGGATTAGGGGAGGCGAGAGAGTCCCCATTCCCAGCAGGAGGAGGCCCTACAGAATTGGGGCCCAAGGTGGCTGGATTAGCAGCATATTTAAACAAAAACTTTTTTTAAAAAAAACCACCTAACTCCCAAAATTCCCCAGCCAGCACGTTTTAAGCTTTATGGATTTCAACTCCCAGAATTTCAGCCTGCTGGCCAAGAAAGAAATCCTGAGAATAACCAATCTCAGATTCAGAAACAAGCTTCTAGTCCTTACAGTGGGGGAGCAGGCACCAGAAAGCACGTGATTTGAGTTTGGAGCTTGGAGCTTTTCTATCCACTGACTGATCTTTCTCTTCCTTTTTCTGTCTCCCTCCTTTAGATGGAAGCGAAAACGATCCTTCATTTTGAAATAAGTCTGTGACTTACTTCTCCAAGTATGGCATATTGTCATATCTTTAAGAAACTACATCCACCAAGATCCCCCTAACCCTCCGGAAGTTGTCCTGCGGATTTAAAAAAAAAATCTTGCACCCAACAGTTTACGTTGGAGGGTTTTCGACAAGAAAAGACTCTTTTTTTTATTTAAAAAAAAACAGAAAAGAAAAAAAACCCACATATCTTGATTCTGAGACTTCGGTGTGAGACTAGTTGCTCAGAGCTAAGGGAAGGACTGTTGTAAGTGGATTCACACATGTTATCGTATTCACTCGTAGTGAGTAAACCTATATGTAATTTATTAAGAAATACCAGAGGGAGGCCTTTGGGCCCAATGGCTCCTAAAATCACGATTTAACGCCGAGTTGGAGCAAAACCTTTGCACTGTTTGGGGATTTTTTCTCCCTTTTCCAGTCACTTAATCTTTCGCCCCTGCTCCCTTGAGTAAAGAATGTGTAGGTGGTACGAATACCTACTATAGTAAGGGCCAATGGCTGTGGTAATGCAATAATTGACTTTATTGCCTTGCCATTTTTGCATTGTGTATTTCTGTTTGTACAGAAAGACTGCCATTCAAAGTTTGGGGTACCTGTTTCCAATTCAATGTGTGTGTTTCTTTTTTTAAAAAAATCACTTTGTGATGGTTATTTAAGTATTAGCAGGTTCCTCTAAATCAGAGGTATATAATCTGAGCTCCTAAAGCTTCCTGTGGCTCCTGAAAGCCTCTGGCAATTCCTTTCTTTTTAAACACAACAGGGGTGGGTGGGAAAAACTACAAGGCACTGGAAACAGCATGAAGGAACTTGAATTGGTTTCACATAGCACATCTTGGGGGGAAAAATATATTGTGCAGGATGGGAGACCACCAGGAAATTTTAGAGCCACAGACTAGCCTGGGAAGTCAGCCAAACATCCCCTTCTGCATTCTTGCCAAGAACATTATATGGATGTGGCCTTTCTGTTCACCGGGGCTCAAATCCGTTCTTTTATGTATCTTTTGGGATCATCGATAAAAATTGATCAATTGATCATTTTAGGAGGGATGAAGAGTTCAAGGCCTCTGTCCTATGGCTTCCAACAAAATTCAGGGTGTTTTTTGGGGGGTGGGGTGGAATTGCTGTATTTTTGTTGTTGTTTTTAATTGCACATCAAATGAGATGAAAAATTCAAGGCCTCGGTCTTAACGATAGCTTCCAACAAAATTGTTTGCTTCTTTTAATTGTACATCAACCCCCCCCCCCTCCCCGTTTTGGTGTGACCAAAACATTTCCTTTGACAGTGGAATCTGCTGTGTACATAACCACCATGTGAGTTACTCAGATTTTTTTTTTCCTTTTTCTAATCCTTTGGTCCCTCCGAGCATCCTACGACGGGCGAGGCCGGGTAGCTCAGTGGCCCGAGGCCTCGTTTGTCCACGCAAGGGGTCACCCAATCACTTTGGGCTGGGATCTGACCCTTGCCGAAAATACCCAGCGGAGATAATATTCCAAAATTTGTCTCTTCTTGTTCCGTAACGGCACTACTCAAGCAACGGGGAAACTTTTGTGAGAACAGTGGTTCCAGGATAAATACCGATGTTTATATTCCGCTGCATTCTAGATGTACGTGTTTCAATTTAATTTGGAATAATATGGCTTGTGACAAGCTTCGGAAATCTTTCCCGGCTTCCTCTCCCGAGCAGAAACTGGAGGCTCAGGCCTCAAACTTTCTGTTTCATCTCTCCCACAACTCCACAACTCTCCCTACTCTTCCCTTAATTGTCGCCGTTCAAAACTGCGGGGGGGACTACTTGTGACATCCTCTCAGTATTTATGCTGCCATCAGCTACGAGCCTGTGTGAGGGTCGCACTCTCTGAATGTCATTAAGCCTAAAAACCGCGACATGTTCAAACGCGGGACTTGTGTTTAAAAAAAAAAAACCCACACGCCTGCAAAGTTGCGCAGGGGAAAAAAAAACCACAATGCAACACAAATCAAACAGGGTTTGTTGTCCATTTTTGTACAACCGAAAGAGCACACGCTTGTAACTTGTACTTTTTTTTTTCTGGAAGATTGCCTGTTCTTGTGCTGTGTTATTGAAAACCTTTTTTTTTTTTTTTGCCAAGTCTGGATGTGAGTTTTTGCAATAAAAAGGAAACACAACCTTGAGAACCAGACCTTTAAAGTGTGTGTGTTGTGTTTTAAATTAATGCTCGCTTTTTTATCTGCAGGCGGTTCTTGTAATTGAACCTAAAATTATGATTGTAAAGCAAAGGTGGGGTTCAAAAAAATTTAAACGGTTCTGTGCCCGGTTGCTGGGTGGGTGTGGCCATGTTGGGCCTGGCCTAGTCGGCCTCCTGTACCACAGCAGGGAAGGAGCGTTTTCACCCTCCCCAGGTTCCCGAGGCTTTCCTTCATGTTGGCCTCCCCAGGCTCCGGAGGCTCTCTTGAGGCCAGAAACGGGCCCATTTCCGGCCTTCCCGGGAGGCCCATTTTCCCACCTTCCCTGAGCCTCCGTGTGCGCCCTGCACAGGGGTGGGATTCTACCAGTTCTCCCCTATTCGCTAGAACCGGTTGTTAACATTCTAAGCAGTTCGGAGAACCGGTTGTTAGAAGAAATTACTGGCCTAATCCTGTAAGGAAGGCAGGAAGGAAACATTCTGGTGTTGCTTACAGAAACTGCTTCTCCGTTAACCCTTATTACATTCTTGGCAGGACTAGACTTCCTGTCTCTGGAACTTCTCTGGAGTTTTTTTTCCCCCTCCTTTGCTGGTACTTTGCTTGCATGGAGTGACCATTCAAAGTTACAATGGCACTGAAAAAAGTGACTTATGGCCGTTTTCACACTTACGACTGTTGCAGCATCCCCACAGTCATGAGAGGCCAGGCGAGGAGATGCGTGCCTCGATGTGAGTGATGTTGAGTTGGCCACACCCAGCCAATAACATGAAGACCAAGCCATGCCCACTACCTAAGCCACACCCACAGAACCAGTTGTTAAAATTTTGAATCCCATCCCTGGCCTGGCACCTACCTGGGATCCAAAATGGGCCACTTGGGGACTCCTGGAGAGGTGGGATAGGCGGGGCCAGCCAGGGGTGGGATTTTCCAGTTTGCTGAACCAACCATAAAATTAATAATTGGTTTGCCCAAACCAGAGAGAAAACCGGTAGTAGCCCACTCCTGGTTGCAAGTCAAAAAAAATTTAAGACCCGTGGACTTCAGCCTTCCTTACCAAATTTTGCAAAAGGGTCTGTTCTAACAGAGGACATCTACACCACCCCATCCCACAAAATCCAGAAACAAAGCTCTGGGTGTTTCCAAAACATTTCAAATTATTTTACAGAATACCAAATAACAGAGTTGAAAGGGACCTTGGAGGTCTTCTAGTCCAACCCTTTGCTCAAGCAGATTCTACAGAAGTATACTCGACTCACAATCAGAATGGAGC